TTTGGATAGCATCTTGCAGTTGATGGAGATTTATGGGATGCACATCCATAGCATGAAGCTCCCGTTCCACCACATCCTAAAGATGCTCTATTGGGTTGAGATCTGGTGACTGTGGGGGCCATTTTAGTAGTGAACTCATTGTCATTTTCAAGAAACCAATTTGAAATGGTTCAAGCTTTGTGACATGATGCATTATCCTGTTGGAAGTAGCCATCAGAGGATGGGGACATGGTAACCATAAAGGGATGGACATGGTCAGAAACAATGCTCAGGTAGGCCATAGCATTTAAACGATGCCCGATTGGCACTAAAGGGCCTAAAGTGTGCCAAGAAAACATCCCCCACACCATTACACCACCACCACCACCAGCCTGCAGAGTGGTAACAAGACATGATGGATCCATGTTCTCATTCTGTTTACGCCAAATTCTGACTCTACCATCTGAATGTCTCAACAGAAATCGAGACTCATCAGACCAGGCAACATTTTTCCAGTCTTCAACTGTTCAATTTTGGTGAGCTCTTGCAAATTGTAGCCTCTTTTTCCTATTTGTAGTGGAGATGAGTGGTACCCAGTGGGGTCTTCTGCTGTTGTAGCCCATCCGCCTCAAGGTTGTGCGTGTTGTGGCTTCACAAATGCTTTGCTGAATACCTCGGTTGTAACGAGTGGTTATTTCAGTCAAAGTTGCTTTTCTATCAGCTTGAATCAGTCGGCCCATTCTCCTCTGACCTCTAGCATCAACAAGGTATTTTCGCCCACAGGACTGCTGCATACTGGAAGGTTTTCCCTTTTCACACCATTCGTAAACCCTAGAAATGGTTGTGCGTGAAAATCCCAGTAACTGAGCAGATTGTGAAATACTCAGACCGGCCGGCCTGGCACAAAGCAAGTGCATGTAGTAATGTGTAACTACGTTCACCAACCAACTTTTATACTTTCAGAAGATATTTCAAATATACTACTGCAGAATACAGGTTATTTAATTGGAACTTTAATTTTTCACCACATTATTCTGTTATATTTCTTTTTATCATGTTTTACCAGTTTTGTTTTACTGTTCTGATGAGCAAATACCCTTTTTCTTTTTAATTGTCTTAAGTTAAGTGAAGCCGTCTACATTTGCTTCGTTTGCATTGCTGCATCACACCCATTAACGGATTGAGCTGCAGCTTCCCGATGAGGCCAGCAATGATCCACTCGCCCCAGAGGGATCGTGCCTATAAAGGGTTTTGGATGTTGTCCAGCATCACTCAGATGGTATAAATCAGCAAAAGCCCCTATAAATAGAGATAGAGGATGTAGTGTAGAGAATTTATAATTTTCTGAGACCACTCGCTTGTTACTGAAGCGTCATTCCGTCAGCTAAATATTTCTCAATAAAACTGACCAAGGTGCACTTAAGGTTCCCGCCTATTTTGGGAGCGATCTATCTGTACCTGCCTGTTTTGGAAGCAGCCTGTTAGCGCAGCCAACCCTGTTAATTAGTTCTGCAGCGGCTCTCACAGGTGCGCGCCAGCTCTCCAGAGTCCTTTACTCTTGTATCAGTCTCTCTCCGTGGAGCCATCTGGCCAGCCCATTGTACAGCAGCAGAGGAGTCCCACAACACCGGTGTTGTTTGCGTTGGTTAAGCAAAAGCAATCTGGAATGCAAAAACAGCATATTAGAGTATCAAGGTTTAAACCGAGTTACATCTGAAACTAATGCTGCCTGAAGGTAGAAGATTATTCATAGCTGAAAAGTGGGGTTTTTTTGGGCAAATTTCCCAGAACAAGCTGTTTCATACTAACTTGCATATATTGCAATATTCTATTGGACTTTTTGCCATCCATAAACTTCTAACATTCATGTTTGTGTACTCTTTATGTCCTTGGAGACGCTGTGCACATAAGGAATGATTAGAAAAATATACAAAGTGTTGCAATGCCAAGTCATTGTAGACCTTCTAACTGAAAGTGTAAAGTCATGGCCTACATTACCATTTTAAAGTCTGCGGTCAATAAGGTTAATTCTTTTTATTTCAATTAAAACATTCATTCAGCATTACTCTGATCAAAAGTGACATTAAAGACGTTTATAATGCTACCAAAGATTTTCATTTTAAAAGTAAATACTGTTCTTTGAACTTTCTTCATCAATTCTGAAAATAAAATATCACTTTTCTACAAATATATGACGCAGCACAACTATTTTCATCATTGATAACTCTAAATCAGCATATTAGAATAATTTCTCAAGGATCATGTGACACTGAATACTGGAGTAGTGATGCTGAAATATACAGCTTTGCTATAAAATGTTTTAAATTACATTTTAAAATTAATTAAAATATACAAAAATTAGGGCTGGGCAACGATTAATCGCGATTAATCGCATCCAAAATAAAAGATTGTGTTTAGATAATTTATGTGTCTGTAGTGTGTATAACTATTTTGTATATATAAATACACACACATGCATGTATATATTTAAAAAAATGTGTTGTTAATGTATCAAATATTTATATGTATATATAGTATTAATTCTGTATAAATAAATATATACATAAAATATTTCTTAAATATATACATGCATGTGTGTGTATTTATATATACAAAATAATTATACACACCACACACACATATATTATGTAAACAGAAACTTTTATTTTGAATGCGATTGATCGCAATTAATCGTTGCCCAGCCCTATTGAAAATATAATATTTTTTTACTGCAGTTGATCAAATAAATGCAGCCTTATTAGAGACTTCTTTCAAGAATATTAAATAATCATACTGACCCCAAACATTTTGAGCACTGCAAAAAAATTAAAAATAAATGTAAGTAAATGTAAGTATTTTTGTATCATCTTTATCATTTAGAACTATCATTTGGGAAATATTTTACTTGGAATTTTTGTTTCTGCTATATCTCTTTAAAATAAAATTCTCCACGCTGCGTATTTATTGACATTCATACATTTTTAAGTGGCTTAAGTGTCCAAATACATTTTTACGGACACTGTAATATGGCTATTTTGTGGCGTGTCAGGAGTTAAATGTCTCTCGCCTGTGTAGTCTTACATGTGAAATGAGACTTGGGCTATTAAGGTCAACAGTTTGTCTATAGTATTTCACACACCTGCCCGTACCGAAGCAGACTGTCTATCACCTTAGCAACACTCTCACAGTCGAAGGGACTCTGCTTTTGACACAGACCAGGCTGTGCTTTTCTGCTGTATGCGATCAATAGGTCTGAGAGTAATGGAATGGCTCCATTGATTTTATGCAGTCCAATTCACTTACAACGAAATTATGCTTTCTATAAACAAATGGGTTTTAACTTTTACACCTCTTGGGCCTTTAGTTTTACCCGTATTGATTCTTTAAATACTAGTTTGTTTATAGCCTGGTTATGAAAATGGGTCAAGCGGTAATTTTAACATTGCTGCATGTTAGGAGGAATTTATTGTATTATTATTTTGTGTTTTACAGAGACTTACTGTACATCTCGTAACAAGAGGGCAACCACCTGAGGGGGATTGTTCACCCAAAAATGAAAATGGTCATCATTTATGCACCCTCATGTTCTTCAAGTACAAGGAACTGTTTGATTACTAACATTCTTTAAAATATCTTCTTTGGTACGATAAACTCATACAGGTTTGAAACAACTTGAGAGTAAGTATTTTTAGTCATTTTTAGGGGAACTATCTCTTTAAGCACATTGATCAAGGGAACGGTAATGTTAAATGACCTTTCTGTGGTTTGAATGTACAATCTTCGTTGTACAAATGTATGGTATGTTAGGTTATTTCTTCTTTTGATGATTATTAAGAAAAGTAATCATTTAATACTCTTAGAAGTACATAAAGACAACCTCTGGCTATTGTTTCAAGCATGGTCAGGCTCAAATAATCTCCCCCCACAGAACTGTCTATCATTCACAAAGTTAAAAACATTCAGCAGACTTATAAATACATATTTTGGCTAATTTGATTATGCTTTCAGCCACCAATATGAATGTAGTACTTTCATTTTCATTTTCTGTTTGACACTTGTTTGCCCAAAAATACAATATCATTTTTTTTGTAGGATAGAATTCACAAAATTGGCCAAAATATAACCGTTTTGATCAATGTTTTCTGAAACCTGAATACAAAACCATTGCTAGAGTTTTTATGAAGTTTGACTTTGATTCAAAACCTTGGGACAACAATCCCCTGTAAGGCTTCTCCTGCAATGACTCCAGGCCGCTAGAGAGCGTTGTCTGCCCTCTCCTGCAATGACTCTCCCAGCCACTAGGTGGCACCACCTGCTGTCCTCTGTAGGGAAACTGTTAGGCTGCAATTGGAAAGCAAGGGCACACCATGTAATATATCCTCGACACCTCTCTGGGTTCCAATGATTCCTCGCAGGGGCTGGAGGTCTAGGCTTGAGTAGGAGAAGTGCTGGTGGGGGCTGAGACTAGGCTGGTAGGACTGGAGCAGCTTGAGATATGGACTGGGTTGCTGGGACTGGCATGAGCAGTCTTAACTAAAGAGTCTGCAGGTGGTGCAACCTAGTGGCTGGGAGAGTTATTGCAGGAGGGCGCAGACAGCGCTCCCTAGTGGCCTGGAGAGTCATTGCAGGAGGTGTCTTACACCCATGTGTAATGAATTTAATGTATAATTATTTACTTATGGAAGCATGTTTAAAAATGAGTGAGAACAAAAGTGTTATTTCAGTTTGTCCTTTGGCAGATTGTTTAGTATTTCTGTCTTTTTCTCTCTAGTGACATTCCCTCTGTAGTAGACATGCTGCTTGTACAGATATTGTGTGGTGCAGAAGATCTAGAGAGCCCTTGTGTTGTTGCACACTGCCCCTAGTGGACGAGAGCAAAAAATCAAGTGTTTACAATAAGCTACTGATGCACTTTTATTGGATGGTTTTAGATCATTAATGTTTACATTAATGTTTGAAACAAAAAAAAACAAAACAAAAAAAACTGTCCTCATTTATGCATTTAAGTAAAAAAAAAAAAGTCCTCATAAAAATGAAAACTCTTACCTTTGATCTCAAACTATCTATAGTCTTTGGGTCTGATTAGTCTTTTTTTGTTGCATTATTTAAATTCATGTTACCTTAACCAAATTGAATTATTATCTATTACATTTCTGTTGCTTTCCATAGGACAGATTCCCTGTGGGAGAGAGACTATGCTGAGCTTGCAGTTGGTGATGAAATATTAACTCATGAGGGATATTTTAAGACTTCTCACATCTCTGGTAGGTTACACGAATCATGCTGTACCTAACATCAATACAGCTTACATCACTAGACTCAGCAGGAGATACGGTCATATAGGTTTATGATGGAGGTTATAAATCTGAGGAGGTTTATGATTACAGAATAAAAGAAAAACTGGTTGGAGTTTCAACTCAGTCGGTCTCTGGGAAATCCTTTCCCTCTTTACCATATTCGGTCCCACTTTATATTAAGTGGCTTTATAAGTACTATGTACTTACATCTAAAAATAAGTACATAGTACTTGTATTGTAAAATACTTTTGCTGCTATTGAGGTGTGATACGGGTAAATGTAGGGACAGGTGTGGTGGTATGGGTAGGTATAAGGGAAGGGTCAACAATGTAATTACGTAAATTAATTTTACGTAAAGAGCTGTAATTACATGCAGGTATTTTTAAAATAGAAGTACAATGTAAAATCATGTATGTACACAACAAGTCCATTGTATCAAATTATTATTATTATATTTCAATGTTAGTAAATAGTAGTTAAAGCCACTTAAGAGAAAGTGGGACCCCATATTCTTTCCCATAGCGGCCCATTTATTTGTTTTGTTTTTATTTGTCAATATATCTTCCCCCATGGATTTATTCTTAATGTCTCAGTGATTTACTTGAGAAAATCCAGATTTTTTTATTTTTTTTTACAGAAAATAACTGACATACGCAACTTAATCCAGCAGTATGTGGCATATCTGTGGTAAACAAACACAGCCGGTTAAGGCAGTGTGAGTGAAGTATGACTCGACCTCCCTCCGGTTCACCAGTTTTCCATCTCTCAGGGTGGAGGGTGTGGCTCAGGAGCCCGTGTTCTTGGATCTGAGTCCAGGCCATATGGCAACTGAACACTTGGGAGCTGAAAGGAGATTTGAATACTGTCATTAGTGAAGTGTTGCATTATTAAATAAAATAGTTTTTCTTTTTCTAAACGAGATTACAAGCAGATATATATTAGTATGTTATTTCCAGGTTAGGGCTGGTATTCAGGTTAATTATACAGTATACATTGTAGAAACTATCAGAGTATATGTTTTGCAGATAAAAATAATAATCATACAATATGATGTAGTTTGTGGTTTTAGAAATGCAAAGCAATGCTTTGAAGTATTCTGAAATGGCTGTGTAAAATTTCACCCCCAAATCAAAAGGAAAAAAAAACTATTATTATTATGTTTATTATTCATATATACTGTATATATATATTATATAGCATTGTGAGGTTTTGTTATAGCAATTAAAGACAGCAGCAGATTAATATTTCAATTGTTTATAAATCGTTCCAGTATGATTGTAAGTATATATCCCGGTAATATTCGTTATACTAAATTTAATTTCATTTAATTAAAATGAAATTTTATTAAAAACAAAGAATCAAACAAACATCACAACCGGACCAGATGATTTTTATAATGACAATTTGTCATAAAAATAAAATAAGTAAATGATTAATAAAAATGTTCTTAAAATAGTCTTGTATTGTAACTTAAAAAAATGAAGTAACCTGGTAGCCTTAACATTTTAAGTTCATTGAAATGGAAAAATTGAGTTAATTTAATGAAGGAGATTGATTTAATCATCAGAAACTCAAAACATTATGTTATCTGAACCAGATAAATTAAGTTGATTTGACAAAAGAAAAAAATGTTGCGATTACAAATTATGAAAATATTTTTTTTACAGTGTATATGACCCAGCCATTAATTTGTGAGATTCACCAATACAACCAAAAATATAATCTTGATCGATGTGAAAATATACATGCATTATATTTCAGGGCACTGCCTTTAGAGGGCATCTATGCTCTCCTTTTCAATGAAACATTACCTCAGGCAGCACCAGCACACAGAGGGATTGAGATTTCCACAATTTTAATTCTGTATTTATAGCCTTGTAGCAATGCTTCAGTAAGATGAGCAAGAATATCTTTTTTATAGCCTATGCAAATAGATTCCTGACCCCATTGAGTGTCAGTCAACATTCATAAAAATGATAAAACTGAAACGTATTCAATAACCATATTTTTTCATATGAATTGGGCGAGTTAGAAATGTTTTTTTGGCGAACAAATAACCTAACCATAGGTGTCATATTTAATCCCACACCTCCTACTCCCCTGTCATCTATTCTCATTTCTTCTGAACATTTTGTCCTCCTCCTATTGTCACTTAGACACACAAATTCTCTCTTTCTCACCTTCCGCGTCCAACTCTCTAAGGCTTATGCCAATATACATTGACAGTCTTTATTCACCAGACTTGTATATAGCGTCCTCTTAGACACTCATACAGTTCCCCATGAATTTTGCTCCCAAAGAAATGTCTATTTTTAGCATACTCTCATCACTGTGCAGAAGACTATACGCTGAGCACTTAAAGCGGAAATGAAATCAAAGATGCCACCAGGCACCTTTCCCTGAATGGTTTCAAGCTACCATCTTTTCCTCTAGATGAGCTAATAATATCGACATCAAAAAGCTTCTAGTGTTCTGAAACAGCTGCATTGCTGTCATTATTGCCTTTACTAAAATGATCTACAAAATAGTAGCTCTGAGCAACTCTATGACATTTAGACAATGCACGACAACATGGGAGATCCATTGAAAGGAACAAGCAACACAGCTTTTGGGTTTCATATATCATCTTCATTGTTGTATTTGCTTTAAGACAGTTTTGATCATTTGGAAGGGTTATATGCATGTCCATAGATTGTCCACTGGTTGTGCTTGTAAAGTGCATCTTTTACATCCAGAAACACTGAAGACATTTAGTTTTTTCAGTGCTTTACCTCCTAAAAAACATAGCTGCGTTATAGTGAATATTATTGACCGGATCACACTAACAGGAATGTAAAACATTCAGTGTGTTGGGGGTTGTCCTTAACAGCCAAAATGGGTTGAAATAGGTTACATTCAGCTCTCTGCCAATTGAGGTGTTTGTGTAAGTCTAGACTCCCTCTGTCTGGCTGTTGAGCACAGGCTATAGGGTCTGAAGAGCTTTACGGATACACACACACACACACACACACACACACACGCACACTGTATTGCATAACTAAGCAATAGGAGAGACTTTCTTTCTGTCTTTGCAGTCTCAATCACATGGGATGGACAGATGCAGGGCTCGTCTCAATCACAGCAGCCTACTCATATACTCAAGGCCAAAGGCAATCAAAGCATGGTACGTGTTCTTCAATTGGTGTAAATCTGTGTGTTAAATGTAATATAATAATAGTAATAGAGCTTTACTGAAAGGTGGTTTTATGGTTGTATAGTTTTGATTGAATTTGGCCATTAAAAATATAGCTCACCCAAAAATGACAATTAGCCCATGATTTACTCACCCTGAAGCCATCCTAGGCCTAGGTTTTTTTGGGAAGTGCATACATCCGTGATAAAAGTGCTCGAATCGGGTTTGGGGGGTTAATAAAGGCCTTCTGAAGTTAAGTGATGCGTTTGTGTAAGAAAAATATCTATATTTAAAAATGTATCGACTAAAATAACACTTCCGGCAGACGGCCGTACGCAAGTCGACTTGCGCCAAAACGAGTGCCGAAGTTACGACGTCACTTTGTAGGCCCAAACGCGGAAGTGAGTTAGCATTTCAGCACTCCCGTTCCCTCGCTCTAAAGTCTATGGGGTTTTTAAATGGGTTTTTGCTAAATCGCCTGAAATAAGGTCTGTGGTTAACAAAGCCTCTAAATATTTTCATGTTTTGATCAATGACATAGAACACACCTGCTTGTGTTTTTTAAAAACTTTATATAGGATTAACTTATAAAGATTATCTTGATAGATAAAACGTGTAAAGGTCACAACTCTTTGTTAAACACAGATCTTATTTTCTCGATTTTACAAAAGTCTATGGGGAAAATGCATAGCTTTTCGATCGAGAGAACCCATGCGCCGCTAGCTTCCGAGTTGTCCTACAAAGTGACGTCAGCACTCTATGGCGATGTATGATGTAGAAGTAGCGTAAGATTCGACGCCTCGCGCGGTTCAAACATACAGGGCTGGGGAACCGCGTTCGTCATTACGTTGTGCGTCAAGTTCAAGTGTTACTCACTTGCGTACGGCCGTCTACCGGAAGCTAGTTATTTTAGTCAAAAAAGTTTTAAATATGGATATTTTTCTTACACGAACGCATCGCTTAACTTCAGAAGGCCTTTATTAACCCTCCAGAGCCGTTTCGAGAACTTTTATCACGGATGGATGCATGCACTTATATTAAATTATAATGTAATTTTCATTTTTTGGGTGAACTACTGTATCGCTTTTTCTCTCCCCCCTATCATTTTTTAAAACAAAAACACTGTGAAGACAAAATAATTGATTGCATAAGTTGATGTACATCCTTCTAAACCGTGGCAATGCATGGATTGATTATAAGATGCTTACAAATATGATCTTGTGACATTCAATGCTGTCATTTAGCCTTTCAAATGACATTTAGAAAATCAACACACAATGCAAACGTAATGCGAGAAGCGGGTGCACCTGCAAGCTAAGCAATGACTGCGGATTTCCAGTGTTTCACAGATGTGAAAAAAAAATAACCCTGTTATAACCCTGACATTTGGCACAGCCAGGTCTAGCGCCAAAATCACAATATATGTTATTGCCACACATTAAATATGAAGTTACATTGACAATGTGTATTAGGATGATACATCTGATTCACCAACAGAATACTGTCCAATGTCATGCATAGAAAACCTACTGTTTGCCTGCATTAATGCTGAGGTGTGTAATTTCTGCTCTCCTAATGGAGTTACCAAAATTATATTTTAAAAACAGGCCTTCTAATCTGCATTGCTCAGACAGCCAGATCATTTCACACTAGTATCACACCATTGGTTGAGTCAATTTTGTGGTGTTGGTCTGCTTAAAGGGAGCAAAGATATGGTAAATCAGACCATGAAGGGATTAATTACAGCTTAGATCAAATAAATTAACACACACTTTAGCTTTAAAGCATCCAAACAAGTTTAGTACATATTTTAGGCACTGGCTATGCACCGTATGGTGACATTCGATTTCATACACTTTGTTAAACCTACCCCAACTGTGCGCATTGCAGTGATATCTATACTCTGAATTAAAACAAGATAACATAATTAGCAGCAGCTGTGAATGCAGTATCTGCATCTAAATAAGCAGCATCGGCACATACAGTTTGCCAAAAAAAAAAATAGAGACGAAGACAAAGGCACCTGCAGCCCAGGTGAGATACTGAAATAGATGTGGGTGAGAAACCTAAGAGTGCACAGTCATGTGCCACATCAAATAATGGAGTCAAATCTTCAATCCATCCATAAGCAGTCAAATTTTGTGTCTAAACAGAAGCATGAAAACAATAAGATGCTTGAGATAATGGCTATACTTGATACAATATAGTGGCTACACTGCCTCAATATAGGCTATACTTTATACTTTTAACTTTTGTCGAAGGTCAATCAAAAGTAGACAATATTGACTTGCATTGTTTTCAAAGCTCTCTGCTGATTCATTGTAAGCGATAAAACAGTCTTTAAAGCAAGAGACAAGAAACCTGTGTAAGCCTGTAGATCTAGATTTCAAGGTCACCTGAAACTAAGACAATCAATGTCCCAGCAATCAATGCCCTAATGCTGCACTGTCTGTCCAAATGCAATGCTGAGTGTCTTTTTATAGATCCACTTGCAAAACAAAACCTGAAAAAAGCACCTTTGGATCACAATTAAACAGATAAAAATAGATGAACCTGTATATATATTTACAGATCAAGATACATATTGTCGTAACATCTAGCTAAGTTTCTGTATATCACTTTCTCTTGAGCTGAAAATCCATGCCATGAGGATTGAGGCCATGCAACACTATAATACCAGTGTTTTTTTCTCGATCCAAGCCAGTAAAAGAAAAGACTACAGTGCTACAAATGTGCTAGGGGACATTAAAGTGTGAACTACAATATGGCTCATTAAGTTATTTGAATATCAACTACATTTTGGACTATCTCTGCAGCTCACATAATATATACACTGAATGGTATCCTCTTACACGCAATACATCAAGCATTTTTTTTTTCTCTGTGGCACTAGGGTGTTATTTTGCTTATTTTTCATTTAGCATGTTCAGTATTCTCTCTATCCTGGAGAACTTCAATTAAAAATGGTGATATGAGATGAGAAAAGAAAAGCCGTTGAACAACAGACACAGACACTGTAGACTAAAAATAACATAAATATGACATGTGGAGACATTCATCTTGTCTTCAAAAGCTTTGCAGAAGGATAGTAGATACAAGTGTTGTCCATACATATGTATTTTGGATCCACACACAGAAGCAGACCGCTTCAATGACATTCCCAGCTGATCACTATCACAACACTCAAAATAATAGACAACCGTCTTGACTATGTGAGTATTGGTGTTCTTAACAAGCAGCATCAGAGTGGATGAAACTTCTGTGAGTATTCTTTGTATCATATACGTGAACTGCATGGCAAACCTTTTTAACAGCAGATGAAGCACACAAAAGACGTTTCTTTGGCGAAGCTTGGCTTTGAGAGTAAGATGTTGACTGAAATATATTGACACTCATGTGCTGTTTATTTGTGTTCCACAGTTCCATATAAATACTTGGCTTCGGGATAAGGTCTTGGATGATGTAGATGGCTCCATGCGAACACTGATGAATACTTGGATTGTGGACGGATCTGGATGCACGGTTTCAATGAGGTATTGGAGATCAAATCCTCCTTCGAACACAGTTTACTAGTCCTTTTTCAATTCAAGTTGGATCTGCTCCCCAAATGACTAGACATCTGTCAGCATTTTTTTGATATTAACATAATTTGTATCGGCTAAAGTGCAATTGGCTGTCTTGAGGTTCTCGTCCTGAATGTCCTCGTTGCTGTTGTTGACGCCTTCTTGGATCTCAAGGTAGTCGGACTTGCTGATGGTGGATCCGCTTCGACTTCCCTTCAGCTCTTCTTGGGAATCGGCTTTGAGGGCGCTAACCTGGAGATACTGCGCTTGCTCTTCACCTTCTGTTTCCCGATGGTAGAAGTAGTTGAAGTTTGAGACGATGACGGGCACTGGGAGGGCAATGGTCAAGACGCCAGCGATGGCACAGAGAGATCCGACAATTTTCCCCCCGATGGTCGTGGGCACCATATCTCCATAACCAACGGTTGTCATGGTGACCACAGCCCACCAAAAGGCATCCGGGATGCTGTAGAACTGCGACTCGGGTTCGTCAGCTTCTGCGAAGTAGACCGCGCTAGAAAAGAGGATGACTCCGATGAAGAGGAAGAAGATGAGTAAACCTAATTCTCTCATGCTGGCTTTGAGTGTTTGGCCAAGAATCTGAAGTCCCTTTGAGTGCCGGGAAAGTTTGAAGATTCTGAAGACTCGTACGAGTCTAATAACCCTCAGAATGGCAAGAGACATGGCTTGTTGCCCTTGCGGCTCGTCTTCCGCTTCCGTCTCCGCCAGCTCCGTTCCCAGCGTAATGAAGTAAGGAATGATGGCCACCACGTCAATCATGTTCATTATGTTCACAAAGAAGCTGGCTTTACTAGGGCAGGCAAAAAAGCGCACCAGGAACTCAAAGGAGAACCAGATGATGCATAGCGTCTCTAGAATGAAGAAAGGGTCCGTGAAGTAGTCGGATGTGTAAGCGGTCGTGATGTTACTGCTGGCGGTGGGGGCTTTGCTGATCTCCTCCTCATCGCTGTGGAAGATGGGCAATGTTTCCAGGCAGAAGCTGACAATGGAGATAAGGATGACCATGACTGATATGATCGCTATAATCCTGGCTGGCCCAGAACTTTCTGGATACTCGAACAGCAACCAGACCTGCTTCTGAAACTCATTTTCGGGCAACGGCCTCTCCTCCTCCTTGATAAAACCCTCGTCCTCCCTGAATAACTCGATCGCTTCATCTCCGAGCTCATAAAAACGGATCTCCTCCGAGAACACGTCCAAAGTGACATTGACGGGTCTCCGCAACCGTCCGCCCGATTGATAATAATAGAGGATGGCGTCGAAGCTGGGTCGGCTTCTGTCAAAAAAATACTCGTTCCTCAGCGGGTCAAAGTACCTCATGCGCTTCTTGGGGTCCCCCAGCAATGTTTCGGGGAATTGCGAAAGGGTCTTGAGCTGCGTCTCGAAACGCAGACCCGAGATGTTGATGACCACTCGCTCGCAGCAGTCCTGCTCTGTCCCGGGGTCATAGTCCTGAGGAAGACCAGGGTGTGCTGCCGCCTCATCCGAGGGGTCGCCCGTGGCCACAGTCATAA